TTTGTGGAAAAGGAATGGCTTGCATTTCTGTTTTAGCGTGATAATTTATCTCAAAATGTGAACTTTAAGAAGTAGACATCATATGTAAGATATGTTTAAAGACTAAAATTTTAGTTAGGAACATTTGTGTGGGTTAATGAAGATTTGATGTAAAGAATTTCGTGTAAAAGGGTGAGATAGGTGGGAATATTATACAGACTACGTGCAAAGAGCCTCCTGGAAAAAAAAATAAAGCTCACAGAAGAAAATAGAAAAAAAAATTCACTCACAGCTTTACTGGGTTTCAGGTTACGCACAAGACAGAGCACTGTTCGATTGCTTGCCAAGAAACGTCCACAAGCGATAATTTTATTGACCAATCCCTTGTGAATGGCTTAACGAAGCACAATGAATCTGATAGACTGTGAGTGTCAATCCTGTGGCAAGCAGGTGAAGGACTTCACAGAACACAAACCACCGCTTTGCATTTGTCATTGAAACAAGTTTTGTTTCATACGTAACTTATTTCCAATAAACATCGTAAAGATGAAACGAAGACACTCAGTTTCCCTTATTACCTACAGCCGGTAATTGTTGTCGTCGTATCATATGAATTAAAATAAAGTAAAAGTAAAGTAAAATAGCTGAAAACCAGTAATTTCTTATTTTGGATGACATGGCACAAACTTGATCTAAATTTCTTTAACGCACTTTGTAAAGCTTTGATAAAGACGATATAGACACGTCAAGGGTACCTATTGTAATTCATATTTTAGTAAGCTGTACTCGTGTGTAAAGTTCACCGTTTACTTGCCTTACGTATTATTTGCATAACCTTTTAAAGAAGAACATAAATAGCTTTGCAGCTGCAAATTCAAGTCACGTTCGACTTCTACATGCACGATTTACTAAGGGTATTTACATTGGCCAACTACACTCGTGAGTATAGTAAAGTATAAAGACGAAAGCATTTAAGTCAGACGAGATGTATCTCGGTTTGTCCAGAGTCCAGTTCCAATATCTTGATCCCTTGTATATAGAAATTAGTCATGTATTTCTGCTTTCCTGTTCCACAGGCAAGTTTTCTAAGTTTAGCTTCCCTACATAGTTTACTTAGCCAAGCAGTTCATCACAGTAAATCGCCCAGAAAAGTGTAAATTCACCTTCCCAGTCGACAAGATGGTGCCTCAGTAGTGTAGAAGCATACATTTCTTGCTACCGTTCTTTTCAATTTTTTTTTCTTTATTACTCTTCTAACTGAAAAGAAACTATATTGTGTTGCGTGTAATGCTTTAAGTCTGACAATATTTTGCACCTGCTAGCATAGTTTAACAATAGAAAGTTAAAAACAAGCGATTATTTTTCTTTCTCTTAAACCTCCTGACGATGGAGACTACACATGCATCTTTGTATGATATTTCTTATTTGTGCAATTGTGTACGGCGTAAGCTATATTTTAGAGCCAAATCTGACATAAACTGATATGTCTGCAACATCAAACACTTTATCGAGCTTTCCAGATATTTGTAAAGACAACAATGAAAATGAAATGTTGTTTTCTAAGTTTAGCTTCCCTACATAGTTTACTCAGCCAGTCGACAAGATGGTGCCTCAGTAGTGTAGAAGCATACATTTCTTGCTACCGTTCTTTTCAGTCTTTTTTCTTTATTATTCTTCTAACTGAAAGGGAAAACTACCAAATTTGAAAGATTCACCTCAAAGCTATCAATACTTAATTAGCAATATCATAATTCTTCTATAAGATTCAGGCGATTAAAAATTTTCGAAAACGAAACTTATTCGCGCATCATGTCGCACCTTTTGTAGCTTTCCCACGTATTTCGTTGATTTAACCTTTGATCCTTTCCACTCTTCTTGAAATTTCTAACTGGATCACAAAATGTATTTTAAGACTACTATTCAAATAACGCTTTTGTTTGTTAAGCTGCATTTATACAAAGTAAACAAATTATATTGAGAAAGATATAAATTAATCCTCGTTTTGGTAAAAAAGGGTTCACTAGGAAAAAGGGCAAACATCGCAACCTGGTGAAATATAGAAATAAATTTAACACCCATATAGGAACAGGTAGATCCTGACGCTTAATTTTGAAAAAAAAACTATATTGTGTTGCGTGTAATGCTTTAAGTCTGACAATATTTTGCACCTGCTAGCATAGTTTAACAATAGAAAGTTAAAAACAAGCGATTATTTTTCTTCCTCTTAAACCTCCTGACGATGGAGACTACACATGCATCTTTGTATGATATTTCTTATTTGTGCAATTGTGTACGACGTAAGCTATATTTTAGAGCCAAATCTGACATAAACTGATATGTCTGCAACATCAAACACTTTATCGAACTTTCCAGATATTTGTAAAGACAACAATGAAAATGAAATGTTACTTTTGATATAAAGTTTTGGTGAGCTGGACTCGTGTATAAAGTTCATTGTTTGCTCCCCTGATTTATTGTTCGCGTGACTGTTAGAACAATAGAAAAGGCTTAGATGTAGCTTATAATGTTGTAACCAGGACTCTCTGTTCAGCTTTTACGTTAATAATCTATAATGATTTGTTTCATTCTTTCGCAGCATTAAAGACGAGAAAAAGCAAGTCCAAAGTCCTATGGCCGTAATCCCAGTGCCTCGTGGTACAATATTCATCAAAGTTTGTTTTACCTTCTATAATCTTAAAATTCCAAAAAGTCTCAATTAGAATTAAAGAGTCCTTTATTCGACAGGTAGATTTGGTCAGAAGCGAGGTTCAATCCTACTTGTATTTTTATCAAACCACCTATTTCGATTCGAATATTTCAATCTTAATTCTGATCATTATCGTTCGAATACAATGCATCTATCAAATTTCACCTGGAGCATCACGGAACTTTCAATACTTGATGAATAATAATAACAATGTTCTATAAGATTCAGAAACGAAAAATTTTAGAAAAAAAACTTTTATCCTCATCATGTTGTACCTTTTAAAGCCTTTGGGTGTATTTCGTTGATTTTACCTTTCTTTCTTTACTAATTTGCTCGAAATCCCTCACTCTAGCTAGTTGATAAGTTAGTAAGCGTTAATTGTTTTGAAAGAGGTGAATATTTGAATCACGCCTTTGTTTTTCTAAACTGGATTCACTGGATGATACAGGGTCAACTAACTCATGTTGTGTTTTATTTTGGCTTGCTGCATCAAAAAAGATATAAGGTAACCCTCACATGACAAACGATAGAGTCTTGGTGAAAAAAGGTGAAACAATGTAACATGATGCAATGTCAAAAATATAAGCTGACGTTTAACTTTAAAAAGGATGCTCGTGGAAATTACTGTTTTAATTTTGCCAATTTCCTTTGCACCTGCTGGACTATTTAAGCGATAGAAATTAGGCAAACATTTATTTTTCTTCATCATAAGCTTTCTGACGGTGAAGACTACACATGCATCTCTGTATAATATTTCTTCTTTGTGTCGTTGTGTACGGCGTACGCCGTATTTCAGAGCCAGATTTGAAGGCTGTTAACTTTGCTGACAAGATAAAGGGACATAAGCTGAATGGAAGCATAATAGGAGAGGTAGAGGTGGATTCGGAAAATTCCTGTCAGTTACGGTGTGTGGAGGAAGAGCAATGTCAGTCTTACAACTTTAGAACCATAATGGGCGACTCAAGGAAATTCAAGTGTCAGCTAAGCGGCTCTGATCGATTAGCTGGATTTGCTAACTTAACTGCAGATAAAGATTTCATTTACAGAGGAACAAAGGTATTTAAGATACACTTTTCGTAATGTTACAGAAATTGTCATGGCTTAGATGGAAGACTATTATTACCTTAAGTTGCAGGTGAATTTGTTTAGAAAATTTTCTAAATTTAACTTAATTAGCCTTATCATTTATCGAACCCATTTAGTTTCTCTGAGGAGGTCATTTCGGAACCTCTGTGGGATTAACAATAGTTTATTGGGAAAAACAAGCGAAAGGAAGATGGAACAAAGAAAGCTAGAGAAAAAGAAAACCGATCTTGACCGGGCTTCCTCCAAGATGCTACCCAGGATGACTCCTCTCGTTTAGAACATTTGATAAAGATTGATATTTCTCAACGTTTTGCGAAATGTTGTGTATGGCAAGAAGCGATGTTAAAAAACTATGCAATTGAAGATCCTAGACGAAAGCCGACGAAAACACACCACAGGAGGCCTTTGGGATATGAAAAGAATATGAAGCCTTTTCTTAAATCTTTTCAAACTAAACAATGTCAGCCTTAACCCTCTGGATGAGTATCAATATTCATCTGTTCCTTAAGTGTTAAGGATTTTATTTTTCTACTGTACCACTCACGAAAGTTATTCAGAACGGGTGTTTTAATGTGTCTCTGGTAAAGGACTGTGCAAATTTTACTGTATTTGGATTTGAGTATTTAAAGTTCAAATCTGTTAGCACTTGCATTAAGTTGACATCTTTCAAAATACAGAGCCCTTGTAAGATAAGTGGTTCCATTTGTGGTGAAAAAGGAATCTGTGTCCCCAACTATCAAGATGGCAGTCTAAGATGCAAATGTACAGATGGCTTCAGAGGACCAACTTGCGGTTAGTGCTGGAGTTGTCATATGCTTGGTTTGGCCTTAAAAATTTAGGAATTCAAACAGCAAAAGACGATTATGGAATATTCTCAGTAGTAACACAGGCAATACTGCAATAAATCAACAAGATGGCTTAGGTAATTGTTGAACCCGTAGCCTCCTAATTAAGGATAACTGTTCCGACCCCCTATTGGATTTCAGGCGTATCGTGGTAGCTAGCGAAGCCACTAACAAAGGAGGTGGGAGACATCATTCTGGAAGATACTTTTTAAGCATTCGAAAGAAACTACGATCCTCACGATAATCTTTAGAACAGCTATTAATAAGTTGTGTTCCTGAGTCACGTGCTCTACTGTTCGGCAAACTTTTACTGTCTTTGGTACAGTGCATTTCACTTGGCAAATTAGGTTAAGTTGTATATATTTATTGGTATGCTTGTTTCTATGTTTGTTTGTTTGTTTTTTTTTTTGTACCATCTCATAGATATAGAGCCAAGCAGCTGCGCTGAATTGCTTCGACACGGTTGGAATTCCAGTGGCGTATACACCATCAATCCAGATGGCGGAAAACCAGTGCAAGTGTTGTGTGACATGATTACGGATGGTGGAGGTTGGACTGTTTTTCAGAGACGTTTAGACGGCTCTGTAGATTTTTTTCTAGGATGGGAATCTTACAAATACGGCTTTGGAAATCTTAATGGCGAGTTCTGGCTCGGAAACGATAATCTTCATCATTTGACAGACTCTGATGACGTAATGCTGAGAGTTGACCTGGAAGACTTTGAAGGGAACATCGCCTACGCTGAGTACACTACTTTCAAGGTGGCAGACGAGGCTGATAAGTACAGGCTTTTGATTGGAGGATACTCTGGCACGGCTGGTGACTCCATGCTCGGGCATGACTCCATGCGCGTGTCTCTAAGGTAAATGAAATCTGAACGAGCCTTAGAGTGATATGAGCTGAGCCAGTCAATTCTTTGAACTTCTCTTACGGCTACGCATCATTAGGTGAGATCGTGATGTTTTTCGATCAACCAGTGTTCGGCGGTAAAGCCAAGAGGCACTTACTGGTTTTCTATCATAAATTTAAGTGACATATCTGCTGCTATCCAGACCTTTTCTATCATAACAGTTGACGCAACAATTTTTTATCGAAACAAAAAAAGGGAAATCAATCGGTCAGCAGTAAATATTCTGGGCGATGTAATATTCTGATTTTGAAACCTCTTTATGTTCTGAGGTGAGAAAAAACAATAAATGACAATAGGGAAAAACTTGACTTTTAAGAGATTTTAATTTAGGACGATTTTTCTTCTTTTCTCAATTATAACCAAACCTTTTCCTATATTCCTTTTTTTAAATAACTCGACGGAGATTACAAGGAGGGGGTAGTGCTGCTCGGAATAGTACCGTTTATTTTGTGACAAAGTGTGACTCATACGGTTAATGTCTGTGATCTTTTTCTTACTCTCGCTTATGCTTCTAGTGTGATACAGTTTTGGACCAAAGATAGTAAAAACGACAAAAGGTCCGATATGCAATGTGCTTCGAAGTTCAAAGGTGCCTGGTGGTACAATATTTGCCATGATTCGAATCTTAGCGGCATCTACTATGGTTGTTTTTCTCTCTCCAGATGTTAAATGGTGTCTGGTTGCAACACCTATAATCATGAGAGAAACTCCATTTTCAACCAAATAGCAACAATATTAACGCGTTCTGCATTAAAATTAAAATTAAAATATTCACGATGGAAAAAGTCACCATGAAACTGTTTTAGCGAATGATAGAACTTTTGACCGGATTGAACGAATAAGTTTTTTTGAAAATATAAATCAAAAGTTGACAATTTAAGGTGGCTCCCGCGAGTATTCATGAATAAACTAGGGCGAAAGCTACAAAAGGAAACCTATCAAACTTAATCATATCAAAGTTTCCCATAAAAAAAACTAACCAGTTTGGCTAACGATATATATAATCAGTATTCCAATTGATGGCCTAAATAGCTCAATATCTTTACTTTTCCCCAATAAAATGTTTTCATTTTTTGCCACATTATAGTAAGTATATTGCCTGATTTTTTGCAACTGCAAAAGCTCTAAGTAATTTCAACGGTTTTGCCAAAAATATCTTATTTTCAATTTATCTAAATATGTACAAATACTTGATATGAACTGTAATTATGGAAAACTCTATCGTTTTATACTGTTTATAGACCGTTTTAGATAACAATCATGCGATCGTATCGTGCCGCATTTTTTTCCTGTTTGACGTCTTTAAAGCTCGTGTTATGTTCGCGTCCAGATCTCGTGCGATCAAATTAAAAACACTTTTCAACCCCCTTAAGCTGATTTTAAAAATGCAATATACTGAAAAACAAAGAAGACTTTCTTGAGCCTCAAAGAAACTATCCTGATCAACTTTTAATTGTAAACAATACTTGTTGGCAATACTTGAAAGCTGATGTCTGGTAACAGCAATCAAACCAGCCCCTTAAAAATGCTGATAACTCAGACAAGAGGTTGAATTATCTGGTCCGCGTCGCGTAAAAAAGGTGCATTCTCCTAATTATAGGTCGCTGGCTGTGAAAAAAAAAAATTAAGTTGAATACAAAACTTAAATCGCCAAAACACTTAATCTTACTTTGTCAGTCTGCCTGTGTCCCCGGGTGTTTATCTCTACTGACTTTATGCAATTTATTAAAGTAATTTGTATACTTAGACTAAGTTTCTTATTAACAGTAACCATCTTCCACATGTTTAGACATGATACAAACAAGCTTACATGAAATTTCATTTTATTTCAGCCAAATGCAGTTTTCTACAAAAGACCAGGACAATGATCATGGTAATCACACGTCTAACTGCGCCGAACGCTACAAGGGAGCCTGGTGGTACAACGACTGCCATAGGTCCAATCTGAACGGATTGTACCTCCATGGCCCTGGAGCCCCTTTTGGTATAGGTGTCAACTGGTACGCTTTCCGGGGCTATCACTACTCACTAAAACGCACTGAGATGAAAGTAAAAACGAAGGCATAAGACGATGTCTATGCAAGAGTGAACAACAAGGAAACAATTTGAACTTTGTACGCTAGAGTGAACGACTACGCGACAATTTGAGCTTAAACTTGCACAAAACCTACCTTAGCAAGTAAATACGTCTACATGACGACACCATTAAATTGAATCTTCTTCGACAGTTTCATCGAAATTCATGCCCACGAACTAGTGTTTAGGTACAGCTCATAGTTATATACGCTATCATAATCTTAGTCCTAAAAGTCCTCCTGTGAAATCAGTTACTTAACCGAACTTTCCAGAACGTTGGAGCACTGCAGAAATAGATATACTAATTGTATTAGAGGACAAAATCACAACAGGATCGATTAAAAGTACGCAATTTAGATTACGGAAACACTATACTCGACTTCTTGTTGTAGTGTAAACCGACCCGCCCCGAACAAGTGATAAATCTATACTAACGATAGAAGGTGTCGCACGTGTGTCAACTTCAGTGACGTCTAATGCAACAATTCTAAAATACACTGTATAGCATTGTACGGAGTGCGAAGGACATTCACAGGAAACCAAATAAAGTAGTCCCCAATGATCATTTTTATAATCGAAGTTCTATGTATTCAGCTTCAAATATATCATCATTCAAACTTTTCAGAAGAATGAAAAGTTGCTCTAGAATTTCATTGTGAATTCCAACAAAAAAAGCAGTTTTTAAAGTTGTACAATGTTTTAAAGTTCAGTACAATGTAACCTCTAAGTGCTTCTGACCTCTTAAGCCCCAACCAGTCGTTATGTGTGTACCATGCAGTGCAAATATTAATTTTCGTTTTCTTTCGTGGATAATCCAAATTTCAATGTAAATACTAAAAGCAATCACAAATCGACCAAAAGTTACTATACCTATGAATCTCTATGTTGCCACCAGCCGAGCCGCTTTATCCTTCAATTAAGAACCGGTATACCTATTTGCCTCGTTTGCCACCTCAAACATCGTAAGCGTAATCGATTTTCCTTACAAAGTCTTTCAGGTCGACTCTCAACATGGTGTCAAACGGCAAAAATTGTCGTTCCCAAGCTAGAACTCGTAACTGAGATTTTGAAACCCGTATTTGCAGGAGTCCCATCCGAGATAGAAGCCAATCTTAATAGTCAGAGTTGATGCCGCACAACCCTTGCATTAGGATGCCTCCATTCAGATTGATGGTGCACAGGTCACTAAAATTGGAACATTATGAAGCAGCCGAACTCAACCTTTTGTGTCTGTGGAGTAACAAGACAAATTCATGGAAAGCATATTTTTTCAACAACATGGTTTTCCTGTAGAAGATGAAAAACCCAGACAAATACATTGTGTTAGGGGATTTATCAACTTTGTTTCTCGCTGCGTTAGTTTTTCACGTCTGAAAATTAAAGTTAATGAGACATGATATGTTGATTAACATCGTAACTAGATAGCTGAATGACTTATCTCAGAAAATCTCTACTATGTTTTGAAAATTTCCTCTAGCTTTTATTCATCTCCTCCTCGCCTCCATTTCAGTCTTACTTGGTCTGTACACAATGGTCAGTAGGTTCTTGCTAATATCGCTTACAACGCTATGATAAGAATCGAGATGGAAACTTTGATAGGAACGCCAAGTACGCCGAGTACACGACTTTTAAGGTGACAGAGAAGGCTGATAAGTACCGGCTTTTGATTGGAGGATAACATGGCGCAGTTGGTGATTCATTCTGCTGAGGTAAATGAAATCTGGAAAATGAGGAACGATTGAATAGGTACTGAACCTGTCAACACCTTGAATTACCCTAACACTTGCCTTTACTCAAGGGCTTGGCGAATTTGCCAATAAATCGCATCGCCGTTCGAGCTGTTCAGGGTCCCATGGTGCCTCACCTGCCCTAGCTTGGCTTCGACGCCATCTGAGTAGACTCCAAAGCGGAGATCCCCCTCTCTGGTATCTCCACGTTCCAGCAGTCAGTCTAAACGCAGCTGAGGTGGTGTTCTCATGTTTTGCTAGCCTCTGTTGCTCGGCTTCTGTGCCTCCCAGTTTTTGTTCAGCCATATTTCTCTTTTGTTACATGTTAGGAGTAGGGCTGGCCATGATTCTTTTGTCCATTAAAAAATGTTTCATCCTTTTGTTTCTGTCTCTTACCTATGTTAGGGTGGAATGGTCCTTGTCCTTCCTCTTTTACCATTATAGGGTGGTTGAGGAGCTTCTATCTGGGTCTACTTGGGGGGGGGAGGGGACAAAGTATGGCTTGTGATCCCCTAAGTATGCTCTTGTATCTCTCCTCCCTTTAGCAACGCTCCCTCCAGTTTCTGCAGTTAAAGGTGGAGCATTTTTCCTGGGAGTTGAGGCATCCTCACATGGCATCTGTTTTGGATGGGCTTCGCTTTAGTTTTAAACTAGGTTTTTCTCATTTATAATATCTCAAGCCTTTCAAAAGAACAAACCATCAGCTTATGAACACCCCTCAGTCACTGATGTGTACCTGGCGACTGAAGTGTCCTTGGAGAGGGTTGCTGGCCCCTTTGTCTCGCCTCCTTTTCCTCTTCCTCACGTTAGCAGTTTTGGAGTGACTCCGAAAATGAGTCAACCGGGAAAGTGGCATCTCATTGTGAATCTCTCCTCTCCCGGAGTGGCCAGTGTGAATGACGATGTTAACCCTGATGAATTTGCACTGCATTACATAATGGTAGACCAAGTCATTCGCATGGTATCAAAGTTTGGTCGAGGAGCACTGGTGGCCAAATTCGACGTCGAAGCTTCCCGTCGGAACATTGCAATTCACCCTTCAGACCGCTTTCTCCTCGGTATGAAACGGCGCAGCAAGTTTTACTTTGATTTAGTCCTTCCATTCAGTCTCCGTTCAGCTCCTCATATTTTTAATTGTGTTGAAGATATTAGTGAAATGGATCTTAGTTAACGACTATAAGGTCCCTGATTTGCTACATTACTCAGACGATTTCATAACGGCTAGCCCCTCCCTGACTCCCCTCAGTGTGTAGGTCTATTTGTCTGGTGTTCGCGCGCTTCATGTTGAGCAGGGGTTACCAGATCCTCTACAGAACTTTCTGTGTTTGCAACGGGTCGTTCGTGGGATTAAACGATCTCCGGGTTCTTCGTCCTCTAGTTGTCTGCTCATCACAGATAGCCACATGCTGTTCATCTGGAAATCTCTGAACATGCACCTCCCGGAAAATTGTATATTTTGGGCAGCGTGCACACTGGGGTACTTTGGTTTCTTCCGCGCTGGTGAGTTTACAGTGCCCAATCTGGCCAGCTTCTCTTCTTCAATTCACTTGACTTTGCAGGATATTGCAGTGAATGGAGCCTCGTCGCCGTCTTGTATGCGTGTCACCATCAAGGCGTCAAAAGCTGACCCTTTTCATAAGGGGGCCAACCGGCATATTGGTTTGGGTAGCCATCCGCTCTGTGGGGTGCAGGTTATGATCACTGTGCTGCAAGATGGTCGTCCTCTATCTGGTGTGCTTCTTCCTGACTGGCTTCGACAGATCTTCTCCGCTGCTGCCAACCTTTAAGGACTAGTTCCAAAGCTCATCTATTGGTGATGAGTTGAACCTAACCTGTCTGCGCTTATTTTAAGTTTATCAGCATTTGTTTAGAATGAGAGAATTTTGAGAGAATTTTCTGATGGTTCATCAGAAGAATTGTCGGGATTTTTCATTCGTGATCCCTAAATTTACATAATATAAAAATTGTACAAAGATAGCATGGGTTACCATATATTTTTTGCCGTTGGAAATTCAATTTTTCTATTTCTGTTTTTACACCACCTTCCTTGCTCTGTAAATAAAGTCCTCGTTTTTAGTCACGTTATCAAATCCAGAAAATCGATCAGAACACTCAGCTGACACTCGAATTTGTCTGAATACTTCATAGTTCTATACAGATATTACTCTTCATCCACACACCCACACTGGCAAAAAATTTTCGAAGACACTTGTATTTCTCTTATCAGGGTGGTTTTTCTTGTGCCATTTTCGGACATGACGATTTGCTCAACGCTGATCCTAGCTATATACAGGACCCGTGTCAGATGTGAAACCATGAATGACCTAGCCCATAGTAGAGAGTTTGTGGCTCAGTGGTAGAGCATCAGAGCGCGGAATCCGGTTCAAGGTTCGGTTTTTCATGGTTGACTTCGAATTTTTGCTTTGTCGTTTGTCCGAGACAAGAAGGGAAGAGTTTGCAATATTTTTGTTTTTTTGTCCTTCAAAGGACACAAAAACAAGTTAATATGGGTTACGGTGTTTATATTTACAAAACAACACGCATACACTCTGAAATAATTCTTGGAGTTTCTCCCGAGATTTAGTATACGGAACCATCACTAATGATGTTACGCTTTTATGGACCACAACGGTTTTGAGGGACAAACTCGACATTTCCCTGCAACCATCAAAATCAACTGGACAAACCCAGCTTGATATATTGTGTGACGTGATTGTGCAAATTTTTCCCCTTGCCATATGGGTTCTACAAATTGAAACCAAAATTAGTTAGTGTAACGAATTAGAATCGAAAGTTATTAAAATGGACTGATTTATATTTTAATGAGAATTTTAACTTTTAAAAAGGTTTACTTGATTCATGGAAAGCAAAGATTGGAGTGGCTTTAGGTATTTAAGCCCTGATTTCTCTCCTGGAATGCCGGGAGGACGTATCGAGTTATTTGAAGTACAACCAGCTATCCAGCGAAATCCTTGATTACCAGTTAATTTTGTTCCGTTCCGGTCATTTTGACCACAATGTGGAAAAAAAATATAACAGTTATTGGTATGTTCTAAACATCCGAACACTTAAAGAAACATTGGAAATGCGGTGAAAGTACTTGTTAACAGCTACAGCATAAGGGAAAATGTGAGGCAGTAAAAGAAAGCCAGACTGACTGGAGATGTTTTTGAAGTTTTCGGAATTAAAGTTGTATTCGGATCACATGGGTAATATATTTACAATTTCTCGAGAGTGAAGGCTATTATTTAACTAAAAATTGGT